CTGCATGCTCGGATAAGGGTCTGGTATTGATCTTGGGGGGGACCTCCACGCCATTTTTTTTTTTATGGTGCCAAAATGTTTTGGTGTGGGGTTCCTTTTAGTTTCTTAAGTTTCCTTTAGCTCTAAAGTAAAACCCAATTCCCAAAGGGCTTGGTAAAATGGAGGGACACCTAGGACGTTGTTTTATTTATTATGGTGCCGTTTTTTAAATGTAATTACAGCTGCTTTTTTCTTCACCTTCACCTGTATATGTAAATTGACAGCGCTATATAAGTACCTGTAATAAATCCAAATAAATAAAATGACAACCTGTTGGGAAACTGCATGAGATTTCAACAGGAATCGCATTCCCATTCAAACTTCATGCTAATCTCTGTGGTGCAATTTGCACCGCAAATCGCTCCGCAAAATATCAGCTAAGGTATCAGCAGTATTTTCATGAGTATGAGTAGTCATGAAAATACTCAGTATCGGTGCATCTCTAGTAGGAAGGAAACAGCAACCAACCAGATTCAATTTTAATACAGTTTCTCGGTGCTATATGAATTCTGCTTTGTAGCTGTAGGTTATGGCATTTTCCAAGTGGCTCTTGAACTATATACTGTACTCCCGCTGGAGTGAAGGAAACAAATTGTCAGTGTGTTTTGCTTCACTTTTTTAAGAATAATTTCATAGCAATCCCCTGCCATGCACCGTTCCAAAACAGTTCATTGTGAAATGAAACAAATTATTCTAAATCATTTTGTGGCCTTGGCTCTCTGCAGCCTCGGGAGTGGAGGTGATGGAAACAGATAAATGAAGCGTTACTCGCTATATGTGTCTTTTCTGCCAAAACTACTATGTCAAAAAATAAAAGCACATGTAAAAGGAAGATGTTTTCTGAGTCAGTGAGCTCCGGTTATTTATGTTTTGTTGACATTTTAAAAGATGAAATTGGCAAAAAAACCATTGTGGGATCGCAGCCATAATATGTGGACAATTCATCCTCAGTAAATTACATTCAATTTGTTTGCCTAGCTCTTGTTGCATGGAGTTCTGGTAGCTAAATGATGATACAGATGTGTTCATTTATTTCAGCAGCATGGTATGTTTAGTGGATTATACAGTATATAACTTCTAAGACTATGAAAATATGTGCTGCCTTAGGCTCCTGTGTAAAGTGCAATAGGCTCCAACCCCAATAATAAACCCTACACCTTCAAGGCTTTGGCTATCTTTAAAGTGTTACTAAACCCTGGACCCTGCATTCACTATATCTGGTCTCCCACAGTACACACAACATGGAAATGCAATTATTTTAGTAAATATAAACTGCTAAATACCTTTTCTCATCAGCAGTTAGAGAAGTCTTGTGACTTCTATCAGTGTGCAGCAGAGCACTAGCTAAAGCTTGTAGGAGGAGTTTTCTTTCTGCTTTAGGGGGATGCAAAACCCCTGACCTCTGTCTGGACAGTGCTGATTGGCCCTGTGCTGATCACATGCACTCTCCCAAAAAAAGAAAAAAAAAAACCTCTAGCAATACACACTAAACTGAGCATGTGCAGAAGGGCTATGGGTTCAGTCTGTCTTTTCAGTGTGGACATTTGAACAAGAGGAGGGGCAGAAAAGACAGGATCAAACAGCTTCTTTACACAATGCAGAGGATTAAGCCCTTAGACCAGAGACTGCGGACACAGTACAGGGGATGACCAGAGACTGCGGACACAGTACAGGGGATGACCAGAGACTGCGGACACAGTACAGGGGATGACAGAGACTGCGGACACAGTACAGGGGATGACCAGAGACTGCGGACACAGTACAGGGGATGACCAGAGACTGCGGACACAGTACAGGGGATGACCAGAGACTGCGGACACAGTACAGGAGATGACCAGAGACTGCGGACACAGTACAGGAGATGACCAGAGACTGCGGACACAGTACAGGGGATGACCAGAGACTGCGGACACAGTACAGGGGATGACCAGAGACTGCGGACACAGTACAGGGGATGACCAGAGACTGCGGACACAGTACAGGGGATGACCAGAGACTGCGGACACAGTACAGGGGATGACCAGAGACTGCGGACACAGTACAGGGGATGACCAGAGACTGCGGACACAGTACAGGGGATGACCAGAGACTGCGGTCACAGTACAGGAGATGACCAGAGACTGCGGACACAGTACAGGAGATGACCAGAGACTGCGGACACAGTACAGGAGATGACAGAGACAGTACAGGGATGACCAGAGACTGCGGACACAGTACAGGGGATGACCAGAGACTGCGGACACAGTACAGGGGATGACCAGAGACTGCGGACACAGTACAGGGGATGACCAGAGACTGCGGACACAGTACAGGGGATGACCAGAGACTGCGGACACAGTACAGGGGATGACCAGAGACTGCGGACACAGTACAGGGATGACCAGAGACTGCGGACACAGTACAGGGGATGACCAGAGACTGCGGACACAGTACAGGGGATGACCAGAGACTGCGGACACAGTACAGGGGATGACCAGAGACTGCGGACACAGTACAGGGGATGACCAGAGACTGCGGACACAGTACAGGGGATGACCAGAGACTGCGGACACAGTACAGGGGATGACCAGAGACTGCGGACACAGTACAGGAGATGACCAGAGACTGCGGACACAGTACAGGAGATGACCAGAGACTGCGGACACAGTACAGGAGATGACCAGAGACTGCGGACACAGTACAGGGATGACCAGAGACTGCGGACACAGTACAGGGGATGACCAGAGACTGCGGACACAGTACAGGGGATGACCAGAGACTGCGGACACAGTACAGGGGATGACCAGAGACTGCGGACACAGTACAGGGGATGACCAGAGACTGCGGACACAGTACAGGGGATGACCAGAGACTGCGGACACAGTACAGGGGATGACCAGAGACTGCGGACACAGTACAGGGGATGACCAGAGACTGCGGACACAGTACAGGGGATGACCAGAGACTGCGGACACAGTACAGGGGATGACCAGAGACTGCGGACACAGTACAGGAGATGACCAGAGACTGCGGACACAGTACAGGAGATGACCAGAGACTGCGGACACAGTACAGGAGATGACCAGAGACTGCGGACACAGTACAGGAGATGACCAGAGACTGCGGACACAGTACAGGAGATGACCAGAGACTGCGGACACAGTACAGGAGATGACCAGAGACTGCAGACCTTTGGGGAGGGGGGGAGGGTACCCAAATTTGAAAGGTACCCCCCACTTCTGCGGGGTTGTCCTCCCCCTCGTAGTCTTCTGGGACATGTGACAGGTCCCACAAGACTACAGGGCCATTCACAAAGCGCAGTGCTATTTGCACATGCGTAGCGGGCACCCGGCTGTGAAGCCGCAAGCTGTCACATCCGGGTGCCCACAATGAAGATGCCGGCGCCAGGGAGAGAAGACGGCTGGTAAAAAGCAGGACACTGCTGGACCGAGGAACAGGTAGGACTGAAGAACAGGTTCTTCTGCACAGTAGAGACGAGCGGCCGGCCTGCTATTCTAACATGGTGGCGGGGGTAATACCGGGCTGGCTGCTCCATATTCGCTCAATAAGACATGCAGACATTTCCCCCATTTTTGGGGGGGGGAAAGTGCATCTTATGGAGCAATAAATACAGTATATGTAAAGCATTGTGTAAATTGACGGCGCTATACAAGTACCTGTAATAATAATAGTACACAGACATATGGAGAACATGCAAACTCCAGGCAGATGATTTCGTGGTTGGGATTCAAACCAACGACCCTAGTACTGCCCGGTGGAAGTGCTTACTACAGTATTTACCCAGTGATCATATTATCATTATAGTATTATCACTGATCACTGTATTAGTGTCACTGGTAATGTCAGTTCCCAAAAAGTGTCAGATTGCCCACCACACTATCACAATCCCACTATAAGTGAATGATCACCACCATTACTAGCATTTAAAAAAAATCCAGTATATATCTCATAGTTTGTGGAGGTTATAACATTCACGCAAACCAATAAATATACACTTACTGCAATTTTGTTTTACTAAAGACATTTAACAGAATACATTTTGTCCTAAATGTATCAAGATATTTGATTTTTTTTTTGTATCGGTTTTAATTTTCTGTATTTTTTCGTTTATATAATAAAAAATGTAAAAACCCAGTGGTAATCAAATACCACCAAAAGAAAGCTCTATTGATGTGAAAAAAAAAAAAAATAAATACATTTTGTTTTGGTACAGGTTTTGACTGCACAATTACCAATTTAATTAGCACAGTACTAAATAGCAAAAAAAAAAGTCCTGGTCAGAGTGGGTAAGCTGAGTGTAATGGGTTCATTTTAATTTTTTTTTAAATAACAAACATATTATACTTAACTGCTCTGTGCAGTGGTTTTGCACATAGCAACCCCAATCCTCCTGTTCTGGGATCCCCCTGCTGAGTGCCCCTTAGCAAGTCACTTGCTATGTGGGCACTCACGCATGCTCGCTCCCCAGCTCTTTGACAAAAAGAGAGTGGCTCTGCCCCACCTACCTCTCTCTCCTCACTGGCTGTGATTAACAGCAGAAGGAGCCAATAGCCCCCGCTGCTGCCTCTCTGTGCAATGAGAAGAGAGCAAGCTGAAAGAGTTGCTGCTCTCATGCACATCGCTAGTTTGTTGGATTGAAAGCATTAGGGTAAAAAAAACCCTTCTGCCTTTAGAACCCCTATAGTAACACTTTTTAAATGGTATTTCACTATTGCTGATATCCTAACCGCTTGCCCGCCTCCCTATAGTAAAAATACTGCTACAGGGCGGTAGGGCTGTGCAAACTATTGGCGCTATATAAATACTGTATAATAATAAATAATAATAATATTATTTTGTATTTCCGGCATTGGTGGCTTTAGCTGTCGATCACCAGGTCCCGACTGGTGTCTCCCCTCCGGCACCCGGCGACTGTTGAGGAGCACTGACGGGGGGGAGAGGTTCTCTCCCGTCAGCTCCAGCATGCTGCTTTGTATTGCTCTGCATAGCAGAGCAATACATAGCAGCATGCTTACATTGTAAAACACACACAGCACACAGTAAAACAGCACACAGTTAACCATTTGATCGCCCCATATGTTAACCCCTTCCTGCCCAGCGTCATTAGTACAATGTCAGTGCTTTTTATTAGCACTGATCACTGTATTGATATCACTGGGGATGTCGGTGGCAGTTAATCAGTTTCCCCCCAGTGTCAGAATGCCCGCCGCAGTCCCGCTATAAGTCACTGATTGCCGCCATTACTAGTATTAAAAAAATAAATAAATGATAAATATTCAGTATATATACCGCCATTTGTAAACGCTATAAATTTCACATGAACCAGTTAATTTACATGCATAGGGATTTTTTTCAGCAAAGATGTAGCAGAATACATTTTGGCCTAAATTTATGACGAAATTTGATTTAACTTTTTTTACTGGAAAAAATGCAATAGCAAAAAGTCAAAAATATTGTTTTTTTTCTCAAAATTGTCGGTCTTTTTTGTTTATAGTGCTAAAAACAAAATACAGAGGCAATCAAATACCACTGAAAGAAAGCTCCAAAGCATTTGGGTGCAGCATTGCATGACCGCACAACTGTCAGTTAAAGTAACGCAGAGTCGTATCGCAAAAAATGGCCTGGTCAGGAAGGGGGGTAAATCCTCTGGAGGGCAAGTGGTTAATAACCTTTCAGCTTATTTAAGACAATTAGGGGATACAGGTGTGATTGGTACATTATGATATAAGGACTACCATTTTGTACATGTGCTCACTCTATGATTAAGCTTGAATGATGGTAAATCCATCAGAGTGGCTGTTACATCTGCTGCATTCTGTATATTGCATCCTTTGCTTTGCAATAAATTTATATTGGTTTTAGAGTGAGTTTACCTAATCAGCCCTCAGTAACTTCTTCCGCCCATTCTCCACTTAACTAATATTTTCTGACAGATTTTTAAGAATGTATTCCTATTTCTCTTACCATTAATATTTATTTATTTGTTTTATTTATTTTTGTTTGTAAATGTTTGAACTGCATTAAACAAAGTGTAAAATTGAGGGAAAAAAAACCCATTTGTTTCATTTGTAAAAACCTTTGTACAGCTTTGTACCAGAATTATAATTTTAGTGTCATTTAAACAGGACAAACTATAAAATAAAATGTAGTTTGTATTATTTATAAATAAAGAATAATAAATGGTTTATAAATAAACAAATAATATAAATAATAGCAACATTATGTTTTATATTTTAAGCTATCACTGATTACAGTAGAAAAAGGTGTGTTTATGTTATTTTGTAAAATTTTATGTCTATGAATTTTATATAAAGTAATTAAAATTTATAAGAATGTATTACTGAATGCCCATAGCAGAAATGCAAAAATGATTCCGGTTCATAACGGGTGTATAGATGTGAGAGTCAAAGTGGTTCAAAAGTTAAAAAAAAGGCAGTACAATTATACTTAGTGCTTTGTTGATATAAAGATGTTTTAAAAAAAGATAATTTATTGATCTTCCTTCTTAGGTAAAAGAAAGCACATGGATATGTGAAAACAAAACACGTCCAAGAAATGTTCTTTTTATAGCTATTTTATAGACCATATGTCAGTGGAACACCTTATAAAAGCCGATGACAAAGGTCAGAGGTTTGAGTCAACATGCAGTTCTCCTTCACATGTTATGGTGGCGGGATTTGCACATAGTCTGCAATTAGAAGCTTGTGCTTTCATGAGCTTCAGAGAGATTACACATGGCCTGTATTGCCATAAAACCTTATGGGAGAGACTTGATCTCCAAGTGACCCAGCCCTATTCCGCACAAATGGAGGGAAAGGGAAACTACAAACCGTAAACCTCTCCTTCCATTCGGCCTTTTATGTTACGGCCATGGCCTTTATATATAAAATTTCTAAAAAAGAAGAAAAATCTATGTTGCTCCAGTTTGCTGTTTATAGTTACATAGTTAGTCTGGCTGAAAAAAAGATAAAAGTCCATCCAGTTCAACCATTTAAAAAAAAAAAAAAGTTATAATCCAATACCCACAGTTGATCCAGAGGAAGGCGAAAAAACCCAGCAAGGCATGATCCAATTTGCTCCTGCAGGGGAAAAAATTCCTTCCTGATCTCCCGAGAGGCAATCGGATATTCCCTAGATCAACTTTACCTATAAAATGTTAGTATCCAGTTATATTCTGTGTATCTAAGAAAGAATCCAGGCCTTTTTTAAAGCCATCCACTGAGCTGGCCAGAACCAACTATTGAGGGAGTCTATTTCACATTTTCACAGCTCTTACTGTGAAGAAACCTTTCCGTGTTTGGAGATTAAATTTCTTTTCCTCCAGACGAAAAGAGTGCCCCCTTGTCCTCTGTGATGACCTCAGGGTGAATAACTCTACACCAAGTTCACTATGTGAACCACTGATGTATTTATACATGGGTTCATGACCCAGTTGAGTATTTTTATAATATACATTCTAAAATAGTAAGAACAACCTGCTAGTCCTATATACAGTATTGCCTCTATAGTTTGACAAAGACTGACTATGCTCTGTTGGTTTATTTACAAATGTATTATATTTCTTTTAAATCTAACTGCTTGCGAGACAGACATTGACACACACCAATTTAATTCTGTATATAAATATAGATTTTTTTTTCCGTAACAGTTATGCATTCACCATCTACAAATTCAGATAGCTGATTGTCACACAAACAGTCCAACATATAAAAAAAAACAATATGTGGCTGGATACTAAAGAGTAGGATAATTTACTCTGCTTCCAAAGTGTAGCATACATAAATAATTAAATAAAATCAATCAATCATATAAAAACCTACAGAAGGAAAATTCCTGAAATACAGTAGATAATCTGCTCATTCTCCAGCACCACAACTTTGTCAGTTTACCAGTCTGAAACAAGTGTGCAAGTCAAGCATTCCACTTTGTGCAAAAACTAAAAACAAAAATGAACAAATCTGTGCTCAGACTATTATTCATTATTTTCAGGCAGCTAGCACAAAAATTTTCATACAAAAACGCACACACATTTTTAAAACCCAAATGATGCAGTGCTAGCAAGCAGAATTCTAGCACTGCAAGCATTCCACTTTCAAGGGGTGCATACATGCACTCTATTGCCAAAAGTATTGGGACACCCTTCCAAACCATTGGATTCAGGTGTTCCAATCACCTCCATGGCCACAGGTGTACAAAATCAAGCACCTAGGCATGCAGACTGCTTCTACAAACATTTGTGAAAGAATGGGTCGCTCTCAGGAGCTCAGTGAATTCAAGCGTGGTACTGTGATAGGTTGCCACCTGTGCAATAAGTCCATCCGTGACATTTCCTTGCTACTAAATATTCCACGGCCAACTGTTCGTGGGATTATAACAAAGTGGAAGCAAATGGGAGCAACAAAAACTCAGCCACCAAGTGGTAGGCCACGTAAAATGACAGAGCAGGGTCATCGCATGCTGAAGCGCACAGTATGCAGAAGTCACCAAGTGTCTACAGAGTCAATAGCTAAAGACCTCCAAACTTCATGTGGTCTTCAGATTAGCATGACAACAGTGCATAGAGAGCTTCATGGAATGGGTTTCTATGGCCGAGCAGCTGCATCCAAGCCTTACATCCCCAAGTGCAATGCAAAGTGTCAGCTACAGTGGTGTAGACCACACCACCACTGGACTCTAGAGCAGTGGAGACATGTTCTCTGGAATGATGAATCACACTTCTCTGTCTGGCAATCCAATGGGCATGTCTGGGTTTGGTTGTTGCCAGGAGAATAGAACTTGCCTGACTGCATTGTGCCAAGTGTAAAGTTTGGAGGAGGGGGGATTATGGTTGGGGGTTGTTTTTCAGTAGTTGGGCTTGGCCCTTTAGTTCCAGTGAAGGGAACTCTTTAAGTCATCAGCATACCAAGACATTTTGGACAATTTCATGCTCCCAACTTTGTGTTCCAACATGACTGAACACCTGTGCACAAAGCAAGGTCCATAAAGACATGGATGAGCGAGTTTGGGGAGGAGGAACTTGACTGGCCTACACAGAGTCCTGACCTTAACCCGATAGAACTCCTTTGGAATTAATTAAGAGCGGAGACTGCAAGCCAGGCCCTCCTGTCCGACATCAGTGCCTGACCTCACAAATGTGCTTCTAGAAGAATGGTCAAACCTTCCCAAAGACACCCTCCTAAACCTTGTGGACAGCCTTCCCAGAAGAGTTGAAGCTGTTATAGCTGTAAAGGGTGGGCCAACTCAATATTGAACCCTACGGACTAAGACTAGGATGTCATAAAAGTTCATGTGCGTGGAAGGGCAGGCGTCTGTTATGTCCTCATGTCATAGGTATATAATGGAATGGTAAAAGGTTGAGTCACAGACAGCAAAAAATCCTAACAATTACTTTGTAACTATACAAATATAGAAGCATTGTAATGAATGCATCATGATAGGGTACTACTTTCTCCAAGTTTAATAACTAACAGAAATATCTGCTGCCCCTCAGTTTGCACATTCCAGTTCCTATGGGAGAAACTATACTGCAGAGATACCTCTGTAGATATAAATCAGTCTTCTTTTGCATTTTCCTGGCCAGGGGCTGGGAGGTGCAAGGGGCTTCTGCTCCTGTCTTGGAAGTGGAGTGCCAGAAAAAACACTTTGGGCAGCGCACAGTACTTTTTTTTTTGCTATTTATCACAAGCATTTGCACTGCACATTAGGTTTGTTGTTTTTTATTTATGTGGTCCTCAGGTCTATTTCCTCTACCCAACTTGGGGGGGGGGGGGGGGGGGGCTGGAGTACTTGGAGAACTGGCTTTGGCAGGCCCATCTGGCTTCAGCTTAGGTAGACCATACAGCCCCCCTGGAGATTCAGGGTTTGAGGCCCTTCCTCTTCAGAGGATGGGCCATTTCTGTACACTTGTGCATATTTTCACAATTCACTTTTTCATTCACAGGAATTTGGAAAGTATTGTGCCATGGAGCACTGAAAGAAAATCAGTCTTCCTTTATGTCTTGTTACCAACATTTTGTCCTTTATTTTTTATTTATTACAGGTATTTGTATAGTGCCATCAATTTATGCAGCACTTTACATACCATTCATTCACATCAGTCCCTCATGGTGCTTACAATCTAATATCACACACATACGTATCTACACATACTAGGGACAATTTAGCCAGAGGCCACTTAAAATGTTACTAAACCCACAATAGTAAAATCAGTCTGTATATGCAGG